CTCGAAGCAGTTTTAAGATACAGTAATCATGAATGATTTCTTTCGTACGTTACGAGCCTTAAGCTATCTGAGATTAGATGATTAGTATGGTACCCTTTGGGTGACATGCGACGCATTCACTCTCAGGTCATAGTCTCTAGTGCGGTTGAGATCGCAAACAATAAAAACACTTCTTTCAGGAGATAACCCGTAGTTAGCCGAACTACGTTTGCTCTGATCTTTCATACCAGATGAAAGTACGTAGGCATAGGACGCGACGTCCTAGCGAGCAACCTTTCCCCACCTTTCCCCGTAGTTAGCCGAACTACGTTGACTCTGATTTCTCATTCTCTGATGAGAATACGTAGGCATAAAGTGCGATGCTTTGCCGAGTCATTTTTCTTTTCTTTTTCAGCCAGCCTTGATAGGTAGATAGATTATAACCAACCCGTCCAAGTAAACAAACAAGCGAGGATCCCGTCGAGTACGACGGACGTGAGGGGTGCTAATACCTTCCCCTTGCGTAACCGACTCCCGAACCCAGACAATGGTTGCGACGACCTTGTCTTACCCTTTTTCGTCAGGTTTTTCCGATCGTTTCCTTTCCCGCTCTGAGGGATAAATAACGAAAGGTGGCGACTCTTCTGTCATGCCGGCACCTTATTTTCGCGCAAGCGACACCACCGTGCCGTTTTTTTTGCGTTGAAGAGAAGGGTGTCGTGTGTGTTTGCTGTTGTTAGAAAGTTCCCTATGTTTTTTTATATTATTGTTAATTGTGTTTTTATGTTTTAAGAAAGAGGATGATGTTGGTATTAAGGGATTTGGCCCATTTGGTTTTTCTGTATACTCCCTGTTTCTTTTAAGCGCTCCTTTTTTTTTTATTTTTTTTTTTAATGTAAATTATTTTATAGATGTTATTTTATGTAAATCAATAATACAGTTTTTAGTTACTTAGTCATTTTTAGATTTTTATAATATATTTTTGTATATAGTTTTTTTAATATATATAATTTTAGATTTATGTATATATATTATTATTACTATTATTTTGTATATATTATAAAACAGTTTTTATTTATTATTTATTAATTTCATTTTATTGTATATGTATATATATATTATTGTTTTAATTTTTCTTTTACTAACATGTTTATAGTCTACATTTTAAATTATATATATTTTTTTAGAGTTTATATTATTTTATTTATTTATTTTTAGAGTTGAATTCTATTCCTTTTTTTATTGGACATTTTGTCCCATTTTTCTTTTAGGTCGATGACGAGACCACCTTCGATTCTCTGTCAAATTGTTGATGGGAATTGAAGGATCTGAGACCGACTTTCTTTTCTTTCTCACTTTTCGACTTTATTTCATTCCATTTTGTTTTGGTCGATGATGAGACCTCCGTAATTCATTACCAGTCAAATTATTGATAAGTAATGTTGGATCTGAGACCATCTCTTTTCTCTCTTCATTACTTGTCCCGACTCGATTCAAAAACATTGACAAACCATCTTCAAAATCCAATTATCTTTGTATTGAATTAAAAAGAGGGGATTAAGTGTAGACTTTCTTCCTCTCCGAGTGTTGGGATGCCCACTGTAGTGAGGGTGGTTCCGACACTCGTCTTTCAATACGAAGACGCTTCCCATCCATTCTCAAATCTCATCTCCTTAAAATCAGTTCCTTGTATTGAATTAAAAAAGAGAGGATTGGGTGTAGACCTCTTCTTCTTCGGGCGTTGGGATACCCACTGTAGTGAGGGTGGTTTCGACACTCGTCTTTCAATACGAAGACGCTTTCATCCTTTGTCTCCTAAAACCTCGGTTCCGTACCGAGTCCATTTTCAAACCATCTTTAAAATTAATTTCTCTTTGAATTGAATTAAAAAGAGAGGATTGGGTGTAGACCTCTTCTTCTCCGAGTGTTGGGATGCCCACTGTAGTGAGGGTGGTCTCGATACTCGTCTTTCAATACGAAGACGTGACTTTATCCACCATTTCTCACTTTCACAACTTCCTTTCGCAACCCTCGTCACCTAAAACCTCGGTCCCGTACCGAGTGCGCTTTCAAACTTCTTTTCACAATAAAAATTGAATGGCCGTGGAGTGGTTAGGCGTAGGCCTTCTCCTATCCCGAGTGCTGACGTTTACCGTAGGGTTCTCTGTCGCAAAGTACTTACCTTTCAAAACCAAAAACACTTTAATAAGAGAACGAAGCTCTCTTTATGTTGAATTAAAGAGAGAGGATTGGGTGTAGACCTCTTTCTCTTCGAGTGTTGGGATGCCCACTGTAGTGAGGGTGGTTTCGACGCTCGTCTTTCAATACGAAGACGCCTCATTCGCCACACCTTTTATAACAAAAACTTTGAGACAATGAATTGGGTGCTATCCGTAGGGGTTACTATCCTAGGACTTGCCTCGCCCCTAAAAACAATCCAATCAATCAAACGTGACTTCTTGCCCCGCGCGGCGAAAACTAACCAATCTTTCAAAAAGGATATGATACGTCCGTTCTACCGCAAACAGGTAACGCCTAAGTCTCCAACGAGCGAGCAACAAAACACCTAACTGCTAGAATGCGCACGATAGCATCATCCATAAAAAACATCAACACACTGTTAGCACGAACTACGTCTGCTCTGATTTCTCATACCAGATGAGAATACGTAGGCACAAGACGGCGATGTCTTGGCGAGCACACTTCCCCCCATATCTGTAGTTCCCCGAACTACGTCGACTCTGACTTTCTCATGTCTATTAAGAATACGTAGGCCTAGGACCGCGAAGTCCTACCGAGTCTGTTCTTTCTCTCTTCTTCCCCGTTACCTCTCTTTCCCTGTTTCTAACCCTTTATCTCTCTCCCTTTAGAATACACTTTTATAGCATAATATTTAAGCAAATAAATTCACACGTCGACAAACAAATGGTTCCCATCGAGTACGATGGATGTGAGGGGTGCTAATACCTTCCCTCGCATAACCGGCTTCCGAACCCGTTCATGGTTGCGAGACCATCTTATCCATTTCTTTCTTAAGGTTTTCTCGATATTTTCCTTTCCCCTCATGGGATAAATAAAGTTCGGTGGCGACTCTTCTGTCTATCTTTTTCGCCTCCCCGTCGTTGCACGATGCATTTTTCGAGTAGCGACAACTTGAACTTGGATTGTTGGTTTCCTTGTACATTTAAGTATTGGAATTCAACTTTGCTTGTACGCGTTTAAACGGTTCACCTTTAAAAACTGTTGACTATCCCCATGAGATTTTGAACTGTTTTGTTTACATCGTTGTGACATTATTGGTTTATGTATGATAACTCTTTACCCTTTATCCTAGCCTTAGGATTTGAGTCGCCGTACTCATATTTAGCGTCCCGCCGTGGACATCCTTTACCCTTTATCCTAACCTTAGGATTGGAGTCGTCGTGCTTTATTTACTCGTCCCGCCGTGGACATCCTCTACCATAACAATCTCAACATAGATCCAGGAGTCACCGCACTCCATGTAAGTATTTCCCTATGAATGCTTACATCCCCCTGGAACCTTGACCACAGTCAATAATTCCTCACCCCTAGTTAGGGGAACTACTGTTGCTCTGATTCCATTCCCGTCAGGATACGTAGGCACGAGATGCGATGTCTTCGCGAGCAAACTTTGTACATACTATATACTTTATATCTTTACCCTTAGCACTTTTTCTTTAGCAAGCAACTTTTAGCATAACACAAATATTAACAAGAGGTTCCTGTAGAGTACTACAAATGTTTATGATGTGAAATACATACCCTAGGCATAACCAACCCCCAAACCTTTGATCTCTCTTTGCTTAGCTTTAGACCTTACTTTATGCTTTGCATTTTTATAGGTTTTTCTTTCTTTAAACTTTTCCTTTTTGGATAAATTAAAATCCGATTGTGAATTTAAGAATTAAAGATTCAAGTTAATCAATAGCTTAGTATCACGATTCTCACCGCAATAATAGGCAACGAAGAGTTCCCGCCCGTTGAAGAGATCACCTTACCTAATCACCAGCCGACAAAAGATGTCGTTCGCCCTATGAATGCTTTTGGAAGAAGATCAAGTTGATATTCAATATAAGATTGTTCCTCTAACAACCTTTCGTAAAGTTTATTCTTTTGGAAGAGTAACTTAGCTATTTTCCCCCTCAAAGTTCAAATTTGAGAGACAACTAAGCAATAGTATACAAGGTACGATGATAAAAGTTGTACGTGGCAAAAGGTACAATGTCACGTGCGAAAATATCTGCTATAAGCACAAAGGGCGTGAAATAGTCTGTTACAACAATACAAAGATCACAATGACTCATTTAATAAAAGATCAAGATCATCGAACTGTCAACAAAAAGGAAGTTGTATAAAGATAATCTCCTCACTATTTTATTCAATACAAGAAATCACACCAAACAACATTAAAAGAACTTTGTAAATAAATATTCGAAAATCAACTTGAAAAAAATAAAGAATTTTCAAAGAAAAAACATAGAGAAGAAACTCTACTGATAAAAAGAAAGAAGCAAACAAATGATTTTATTGTATGCACTTTTCACTTGTATTTTTGCTCATATTTTCTTATATCTTCTATTAAGTGATATTTGTAAACACCCCATCAATTATCTGTTAATCAGATCGTATTCATTTTACAAACCACTTTTTTTTTAAGTCTAAAAGGTTTTGTACCCCATAAATACTTGATCATCAATGAATAATAATCTTGAACATTGATTAATTATAACCTACCCATCCCACCAATACAGTCCATATGACTCAATTTTACCATTTGCCCGGAACCAGATAATTGCTAAGCATCCTAATAAAAGCATACATCACATCATATCACAGGCCAAGCAATATTTAATAATGAGTTACTTTGATTCAAACCACAAATTACATGGGAGATATTTGAGGTACATAAATGAATTTAAAACCAGAATGTGTAAAACATATATATCATAAACAGTAGTCATATTTATTGTGGTATCTGTCTGTGTTATGAAAGAGTAGCACTAGAAAAGTAAAGGGTAAGTGGTGAGATCCGAAGCAGGCTGCTGTCCAGTATTGTGAGGGTTGTTAGCTGGATGAGTAGGCTGTAAGGTCAAGGCAAACATGCGAGGACCTAAATTTGAGAAACCAATCACAGACTCATAATCTGCTGCTCCATTTTCCATCATTTCAAAACGTCCATCTTCTGCTCTTGCATCCTTCAACAAATCAAATCAATCAAATTTAGGTGCTTTGCTGCTAGATAGTAGTATTATTAGGGAGGAGACAAGGATACATACCAAGTCACGCAGGAGTCTGTTGTGCACCTCTCTCTCATTATTAAACTAGAAGCAAATAATAGTAAGGAAATTTCAATCATATAGAATCATATTAACCAAGATTTAATACTGAGAAATAAGATAGAGAAACATTTAAATTTATACCTTCTTCCTTTGAGTATCAATCTGATTTGTTATCACCTTATACTGTCATCCATTGCCATAACAAACTTTAGTTAATATTTATAGGAAAACTTTACTTTTAAATTTATTGAATAAAATGATATATTTGAATTATATACACACACTAAATATATCAATTATTTAATAAATTTAAAAAACAAAAATTATTTATAAAAAAAATAGAGACGGGTATGATATACGGAATAATAATTTTAAAATAATGAATAATAAGAACATAAGGTGAGTTCGATGATTTCAAATTTCTTGCACTGAAAGCGACTCTCAATAAAATCTCATTCATTAAAAATAAATAAATGAGATGTTGCGGGTTCGAATTCATATTTCTACATTTTGTATCAATTTTACATGATTATCAATTGAACTGACTTAACGTGACAAAGAGTTTCGTATTTTACACTTTTCAAAATAAAACTATAAAATTATATTTAAAATTTAATATTTAATAAAAATTAAACTTTTTGATTTTACTATTAATTAAAATTTAATATTACCCTAAAATTTTTGTAACATGTTCACAACCCTATAAATTATTAAACATTTTTCTTGAACTATATGACTGATTTTAATTGATATTACCTAAATTATTCACATTTTTAAAAGGTAATTGGTCTCGTCTAAAACACTACACTTGATTAGGGTTGAGTATAGGATTGTGGGTGAGTATTGAGAGTGTAGTGATTAGTGAATCATTTTTAGCAAATTAAGTGTCCTTTATATAGTGTGGTTTGAACCTTCTTATTTTGTGTGACCTAAATTTGTAGAAGATGCGAGGTCTAAATAATATTCTTGCTTTAGCTTGACAGTGATTGAGTGAAGTGCAGATAAAATAAAAAAAATTAATTTAGATAAATATATATAATATGACATAGTAGTTATAAATATTTTCTTAATTGTGCTGGTAAAGGGATGGCTTGTATCTTATTTGATTTGAGTTCAATTCTTGGCCATAAAAGAAAGAAAGAATTTAATTTTTGAAAGACTCACTATAGAAGTTGCTTTAGGTTTTTAAAAATGTTGGATCTATGGTATGATTGATTTAAAGAATTGATCTTTTCACTTTAACGGTTATTTGCACACTCTAGTGAAAAATCAAAACTATCCTTAAAACATATATTTTTTTTCAGATGCACATCATTCACACACAAACCATTCGTTGTTGAGGCATTCGTTGTTGAGGCAGATCCTTATTTTATGCCAAAAATAATACGGAAATGCATCTCCGTGTAACTTTCAAAATGCACCTCCGAATGCACTTTTAATAAAAAAAACGCGTCAATCTCTTTTCATTTCTCATTTTTCTTTTACTCTCTCAAACTCTCAAAGTCTCTTAAACTCTCTTAACTCACTTTCTAGTTTCTACTCTCAACATTCAATCAATCAAAGAGCTCAACATCAAACACATATTTAATAAGTTTTTATATTTCTCTATACATTTTTTATTTCTCTACACATTTGTAGAAATTGAGTATTATGTTGTGTAATAGATAATTTAGATAGGTTATTTAACTGGACAATGTGTTTAATAGCTAGTTTAAATGAGCAATGCGTTTTGAGAATGTTGAATTTCCATGCATTTTTGATATTTAACATTTTTTTCTGAGTTGCAGGTTAATACGAAAATGCACTTCAGGATTCTTTCAGAATTTGTTTCCTAGAATGCATTTACATATTTGGCAAGTCTACATAGTTTGCCTTGATTTTTATTGTGTTTCATCTAGGTTTGATTTTTTACACTATGTAATGCTTGTGTGATTTAATTATAGACATTATGGATGATAACCAAGCTAGATTAAGGATTGGTAGAGTGTCACAACATGCATCTATTTGTAGGAAAAGAGCCCGACTCTTGTAAGCACCAATATGTTCTAGTTTGTTTGATGCAGGTGCATCAACTTGCATGGTTCATGCATTCCCGACTTCATCTTCTTGGAGGAGGTATATGTCACCTTCTAACCTCTTGAAATCCCCGCCGGTACAGGTTGAGGCACTCTAGGTTGATGTCGTTCCTGAAAGGTTTGGAGGAGGCTTGTCTGACATATCGCTGCTACCTCTATATTCGAACCATGTTGCCAAACATGTGTGGGATGGAGAGGTAAAATTCATTTGTATTTATTCTTTGAATTACATGTGTTATAATATTCAAAGTTTCAGACGATGATTTTTTCTACAGAACAATGATGCTTTAAAATGAATCAACCATAGTTTGAAGATTACGAGGTTGGATCAACCTCAAGAGTAGTGTTTTCACGATGTGATGCAATTATCTAGGTTGCAAAACTTATGCAAGACCAATTATTACTATTAACCATGGTATAATGTCGGCGTTAGCTGAGGAATGACACTTTGAGACGTAACTGATACATATTCCACATGGTGAGATGTCCATCACACTAGACGATGTGTCATGTCTGTTGTATCTTCTAATCAAGGGAAGACTATTAGACAACAATATGATTATCAAAGATAAGACATTGGAGATGATGATGACATATTTGAGAGCTAACTCAGGGGATGCCCTGAAAGAGATAGAAGACACATGAGGGTGTCATGCTAGGTTTGGATTCTAAAAGAGGTTGTATGCACAACGACCGACAGCGGCAAAGTCGACCGATGGTGATGATGAAAAGGTTAAGCAACATAGAGCATATGCAGTGAGAGCACAACTGTTGCGCCTAGTTGGTGTGACCATATTTGTAGACAAGAGTGGCTATTACGTTGATATGTTTACCTTAAATACTTCGCTGACATGGAGCAGATTCATGAGTACAACTAGGGGCCAATTGTTTGATCTATCTATACTCTAAATTAGTTGAAGGTTGTATATGGAAGATCAAATATATGACAGCTAGCTGTATGCAATTGACAGTAATATATTTTTGAAAATTTAAAGGTAACTTGAGTGTTTTTACTCATTTTTAAATAATATCATTTATGTCATTTTAAACATATATGTTATTCCTTTCATTTTTTATTCAATTTAACTCAAAATAAATAACTAAATACTCACCTCACTTTTCACCAACCTTCTATTCACTTTCATCCCTCTAACATTTTTTCTCATATTTTTTTTTCTTTTCAATTTATTTTCTCATTCAAACAAAGTAATAAAATACAAGATGAAGAAAAATAGGAGCTCGAATACAACACAAGAAATGCATAGAATCCCCAAAATTAAAAACTAAGAGCTAGCAGAAAACAAAAAGCAAAGAAAGAAAAATAAAAGCTATAGGAACCACGAAATCAACAACAAATCTAGGAACCAGAACCATTATCGACAAATCAACACCCTCTAGTGCAATTTAAGTCCATGCTCATACGAAATTAAATGACACTCTCAAACTGCTATTGACTCAAACAAAGAATTGGATTCGATAACCCATTAGAAAAAGAAAAAGAATAAGTCGATGACATAGCAAAATAGCATTTTTAGGCGAGAGAGATGCTCTTATCTTCCATGTCCTCCTCAAGAATCAACAAACTTATAAAGATGAAGTCTTTTTAAGATTTTTAAATAGTCCACACCACAGAATGCCGAATCATGATAAGCCCACCTCTAATCCTAATAGGACCTCACAAGGAAGAAAAAACCTTAAACACCGAGACATTATCTCCCAAAAAAACCACCACCCTCCCTAGCCACCAAAAGAAGCTATACCATATGTTTGCCGCCACACTATAAGTGACAAACAGGTGAGAGATAGACTCAATAGGCCTAACACATAACCTACAAGAGAGACCAATAAAGTCAAGAATAACACGTCTGTTAAACAAAATTTCCATAGAAAGGATCTTATCTTTGAGAAGTTGCCAAGAAAACACATCCACTTTAGAAGGGGCTTTACTATCTTATATAGAAGCCAAAACAACACTCAACTCAGCAGGTGATGTGTTAGGCAAAGACTAGGCATCAAATAAAGTAGTGTAGAAAGATGAAACAAAATATGCATCACCCTTTTCATAGAGTCAACATCAATTATTAAGATCCTAAGAAAGGAAGGTTCTTTGGATAGTCAAAAGAAAGTCATTAACCAAATCTAACTCATTAGATACTGCACAACTTGTAGGGATTTTCTGATTTGAAGCTCTAAGAATTTGAAGGGACAATCTGATTCTCTTAAAATACTTCATTAACCTTAAGAAAAAACATGTTCTCTCTCTTTAGACTAGTTAAATATAATCTTAAATATATTGAAGGTTAAAATTTAACTAAGTTATAGTCCATTTATGAAAATAAATGATTCATGAACATAAAAATGACACTCACACCATTTTTAACGGTAAAATATTATTAATAATATAAGAAAATAGTTTGGTAAAGTATAAACAAAAACTGTAAGTACAATGAGTACCAAATTAAGAAAGCAAAAGCAATCCCGAAATCAACCAAAGAGAAGAGAAACAAAGGTCTGTGAAACACCTGCACACAAGAGCACCACCCAACAAGAACCAGGCTAGAGCTTAGAGATTAGACCCACCTACACCAAAACCAACTCGTGCAGAACACTAGAAAACCACTAAACACCAGAGGGGCAAACCATAACTCTTGATCCGCTATTGGTTCAAACACATTATATGGTTCTAGAGTCAGTCGGAGAAGGAACACGAGTTCATAGAGGATTTATTAATGAACCAATTTCAAGCCAATAAAATTCTTTGTTCCTCCATCTCTTTCACATCTATTGACAAGCTAGAAAAAACCTTATTATTACAGACTGACTAAATAGACGACACCACATCATGCCAGATCATAATAAACTTACCTCTAAACTTAGCCTAGGACCTAAAGAAAATAAATCACAAATAAAATATTAGGCTCACTAAGAAGGGTCATCTGCATCCCAAGCCACATAAAGATCATATACTAGACAAACAGAGCGAAACTACGAGTACTAAATAGAAGAGAGGCCGACTTAATACAATCCTCACATAAAATACACAAAGTCCCATCTAGGTCAAAAATGAACTACCGCTTGAACATGTTTTCCTTATTCGAAAATCTATCTTGCAGAAGCTACCAAGAAAAGACCACACCACCTTTAAAGAGATCCAACTCTCCTAAATCAAAGGCAAAGAAGGAAGAACACTGACACGATGGGTCTCAGAGATATGAATAAGTCCAAATTGGACTCGATAAGCAAACACCACAGAGAAAGCACCATCTATAATATGTCTCTAAATCCACTTATCATTCTTAGAAGAAAGTTGAAACTCTTGGAGAGCTAAGAAGAACTCAGAAATCAAAGACTCTTCCCAAACGAAAAACGATCTCCTCCATCTGAGATCTCAAGTCAACCTTCCATAATCCCACCTCCTAAATTGCTTTGAAACAATTCAATTGTTGCATAAGGCATTTGAAAAACCGTGTTAAAAGGATTAGAGTTCTATTCTTTATAGTTAAAACTTAACTACATTTACGCCATACATTATCTCTGATTAGATCAATATTTGATAATTTATATTTTAAATTTTTTAATTTAAATAGTCTAGTAGCTGGAGTTCACCTTATTAAAGATAAATAAAAGGAATGTCGCATATTCGATCCCGCATTTTTGCACTCAATATCTCTATACAACTATCAACTGAACTGTTTTAACGGGAGTATAGTTAGAATGGTTTTGTAAAAAGAAGATATTGCTTTGGTCCTTTAATAACAAACAACACACCGTAATATACTATTAAGTTAGCCATTTTTTAAAATTTGAACTAAGTTCTATATACCTCTAGATCGAAAACTCAAGTAAGCCCTCTATAACCTATTCTTTATTTTATTAATAATATTTTTGGTAACGCGAGTGTTATGAAATTTTCAATATATAATGTAAATCAACCAAAATCTAATCGATAAATCTTGATAATTTTTTTTCCTCATAAAGTGATATTTATATATATAATCTTCTAACCTTACGCTCACGAATAGCTTTGGCAGCTTTGTCCATTTCTTCCTCAAGTAACCTCAGCTCCTCCATGTTCAGATCGTTCAAACAATCCCCCATCCTCTGCCTAATCTCCTTGCGAAGATTCCTATTAACATCTTTCAGTTTCTTCAAGTTCTCTTGCATATTCTAACCAACAAAACATACCAATAACCATAACAAAATCATTACATATAAACAAATAAAAAAAAAAAAAAAAAAAGATCTAAGGCTAAACTACCTCATAATGAGAGTTCCATAGATCAATTCCAACAGTCATCTGATACTGATCGAAAAACTGCTTTGTTCTAAGCAAAAAAAAACAAGACAACATAAAAAAAGAGAATAAATCTAGGATATACAGTAGACAAAAAATCCACCTAGGGTTAGAGAAAAGAAACAACATACGAGACAGAAGGACTGATATACTCATGAAGCTTGCCGGTGCTGGAAAACATAATAATAGAAACCTTAGCATCACAAAGAACAGTAAGCTCATTAGCCTTCTTGAAAAGACCGTTCCTTCGTTTCGAATAGGTAACCTGTCGGTTTGTGGTGTTCTCTATTCTCTTGATCTGGATCTTTCCACGAGCCATATGGATGGATGGAAAACCTAGCTAGCAGGGTTTTCTTGTTTGCTTGCAATGAGAGACAAGGGATGTAGAAAGATAAAGTTGTGCGTTGCTTATAATGGTAACCTCTTTGCCAAATTAGAGAAAGGTTTTGCAGAGTTTGTTATAAATGTTTTGGAAACGCCGTTTCATGTTGGGAGTGGGGACACTGCTTTCTGTCTTACGACGTTATACATGTCGTTAACGTTTTCTCTAATGACTCGAGTCTTGATTGATGTTGTTATTTGTTAAGGTAACATGTCATTGCATTATGCAACGGTTCTTTTGGGAGGATGTTAAACCGGAACTCAAAAATATTTGTAGTGGAATTCTATGTGAATGGAAGGAATGTGAAAGGTGGGAATAGTTTGTTTATTGTGATGATCCCAAAGAAGGATGACCTTGCTGAGATTAGGGATTTTTTTAATGGAAAATCACTTTGTACAATAAACAAGAGAACACGGAGCAAAATATAAGGAGTATCAAAGATACACTCAAATAAGTGATAACAACAAAATAAATAATACTCGTTTTAAACAAATAATATAATCTATTAGATTCGGTTTGATTCAAATGAGGGAGAGAAGAGATGAGAAATTTTAATGGAGGGAAGAGGGGAGGAGAGGTGGGAGATTTTTTTTAATCAGATAAGGGTTTGGTTCAAATGAGGGGATGGGAGGGGAAGAGAGGAATTTTAATTAAAAATGTGTTTGGTTCACAAGGGGAGGAGAGATATTTTATTAATAATTTACATTTTTATCTTTATAATCTTATATAAGTCATATGATTTTCAAATATGAAAAATCTAAACGTATTTTTTTTGGTAATATAATTTCTAATATTGAGTGACTAAAAATGTATTTATTTGTCACATAACGTTATAAAATTGAGTACAGTTGATTAGACTTATAACTTTCCAACATAAATTAAACTATATGCTGATAACATCGTTTAAATTGTGATGAATCATCTAACAAAATAAATATATAAAATAACTTATTATTAAATATTAATGGTTCAAAATATTTAATAAAATGAATAAACAAAAATAAATAAAATGAATGGTTTATAATTTGATATAAAAGAAAATATGATAGAATACATAATAAAATTATTTAAAAAAAATGAATATAACTAAACATAACTTTTTTTTATAAAAAAAGGATAATGATTATGATTTATATTAAGTATAAAAATTATAAAATAATTTGAAGGTGGAGAACACTTATAATAAATTGATGGAAACAATCGAGAAAAAACAGTAACACGAAAAAAACAAATATAACAAGTTGAAATACTAAAATTAAACTGAGAATATTTTTAGTAAATATAATAATTTTTAAATATAAAAATTAATATTTCCTCCCCCTCCCCTCCAAATTTGGAGGGAACAAAAAAGTGTGTTTTGGAGGGATTTTGCTCCCGCTCCTTTCTCCTCCTAAAATTTGAATCAAACATATTTAATTAAACTATGTATCATTAATTTATTAAACTATGTATTTTCATCTTTTAAAAAATTAGTCATCTCATATTTTAATTTTTTAAAATTTTATTTGAAGAACACCTTTCACATTCCATACAAATTCTATTCGATCACTTCATATTTGAGCTTCTTATGTACTCTATACTTCACTTCAACTATTCCACAGTCCAACTAAATAGTATCGTCCTTCCCCCATACAACCAATGACTTTGTTCCTACTCATTTGTCATACCGCTCTTCATCCATAACTCACTATCACAATATCTTTCATTTTATTTGGTTAAAAATGAAATATACGGATATTATGTTTTGATGGAAAAGAATTAAATTAATGTATGAATTTTTTTATTAAATTGAGAGCAAATTGTATGGATTTTATGTGATAATAACTTTTTGTATCTTTAAAAGAACCTGAAAATAGTTTTTTCAAAAATTAATTTTTAAAAAATGTAATGGATATTTGTAAATATTCATGGGTACCTCAAAACCAGTGGATTACCCGTTTAACGGATACCTGAACGAATATGAGGCAAATATATATATATATATATATATATATATATATATATATATATATATATATATATATATATATATATATATATATATATATATATATATATATATATATATATATATATATATATATATATATATATATATATATATATATATATATATATATATATATATATATATATATATATATATATATATATATATATATATATATATTCAATGGGGTAGACACGAATGTCATACTATCCGCCAAAGTCGTCTCAAACTTTTAAAAGGTCATGTGTAGAAATTTCAAGTTAACTTCATTTAAGTCGTAAGTTATTTTTTAAGAGGCCCTATTTAACTGTGAATAATGTGTATGGAGGCCCTTTTTATAATAGTTTATTCATGAAAAAATGTGAGGTCATGTGTTGTAGGTCGCCTTACATACCCTCAAAGAAGGTCATGCTATTCGCCGCCATGAATATCCATTTAGATCCATACTTTTAAGGACGAGATGAGTGATCTTGACGTGAGAGTTGAGCAAGGCGTTATTTCTGTGAAGGATATTAATGCTAAGATAAAGACATCCTTGGATTTTTGGTCCTTGCCCAAACCAAAGATGCACAACTCTTTTCGAGGTCTACAGTTAAGTGACTTAAGAAGGGTAATGCAAATGTCGATTTCTTCTATGCTTATATTAAGAGTAGAAATAGAAGAAATTTAATTTTATTTCTTAAGGTGTGGGATAACTGGGTTGAAGGGGTTTATGAGATTTGTTAGGTTGTGCTTGGATTTTTTTCTAGCCATTTTAAAGAACCTCATTATGAATAACTTCATCTAGATGGAGTCTCTTTTTGTTCTCTCTTCAAGGAGGATAATGTTGGGCTTAGTGCAACTTTCCTCCTTTGTGAGATTGATCGGGTTTTAGCTTCTCTTAAGTAGGGATGAAAACAAAATCTCAGGCATGCGAATATTCGTGAATAAAATCTATCTATCACAAATACGAGACGAGTAGTTCAATGGATATCCGCGAATAAAATAAATTGATATATAAATATTTATTTTTTAATAGATATAAATGAGGTTTTGATGATATCCAAATCTGCAGATATTCATACCCATTAATAAATTATAAAAACTATTTAAATACCAGTAATTTATTAAACTATTTATTTTCATCTTTTAAAAAAATTAGTCATCTCATATTTCAATTTTAAAAAAAATTTATTTGAAGAAAATCTTTTGCATTCCATAAAAATCCTATTTGATCACTTTATATTTGAGCTTCTTATGTACTCTAGACTTCAGTTCAAATATTCCACCGTCCAACCAAATAATATTGTCCTTCCTCTGTCCAACCAGTGCCTCTCTCTGTTCCTACTCATCTGTCACCCTGCTCTTCCACCATAACTCACAATCACAATATCTTTCATTTTATTTGGTTAAAAATAAAATGTATGGATATTATATTTGGATGTTGCTATGTTTTGGTGAAAAAAGGAATGAAATTAATGTATGAAACTTTGTTATTAAATTGAGAGCAAATTGTATGAATGTTATGTGATAACTTTTTGTATCTTTTAAAGAAGTCGAAAATAGTTTTTTTCAAAAATTAATTATTAAAAAATGTAATGGATATCTTTAAATATCCATGGGTACCTTAAAACCAGTGGCTTACCCGTGTAGTGGATGCCTGAACGAATATAAGATGAATATATATATATATATATATATATATATATATATATATATATATATATATATATATATATATATATATATGTGTGTGTGTGTGTGTGTGTGTGTGTGTGTGTGTGTGTGTGTGTGTGTGTGTGTGTGTGTGTGTGTGTGTGTGTGTGTGTGTGTGTCTAGACTAGGCCTAGAGGTTGTCCCACGATCTCCACGACCTGCAAGTTACTCATGTGTCTTCTCCACGTGCTCCTCATGCGGGGACACGTCATCAGTAACTATCTGCGTCCAAAAGAACATGTCACCCACCTTCTGGAGATCGCGGTGCAATAGAACCAAGATAAAGACCATGTGTTGGTCTTCCCCTATGCCACGTAGACCTTGGCCGTTATTCGTATCTGGCCTGGTGATCCAACCCAATGCAAAATAACCGTTTGCCTAGCGTTGGGGGCATATTATAAATACCTTCTTTCACTAGAGGGTCAGGTATTCTATTTTCTATACTGTACTTGCTCTATATCTCTTTCTTTACTCCATTTCTCACTTTGGCATCAGAGTAACTTGCAGGCACACCCCCTCTCCTTCTCCACCACCAGCGAATTAGGAGCTCACTATGTGTTGCTGGCTGCTGATGCTTTTCTGATCCGGTAAGATCAGTGGCTCCGTTTGTGAGAATCTTGCTTCCCCGTTCTTTCTTTCATAGAAATTCAAGAACCAAAGCATACTTCAATCTCTGTTGATCATGGCCATCCTACGCATTGACGACCCCGACGTGGCCTGCCACCAACTCACCATAGATCCGACCGCTAGGGCCATAGTACAACATAGGCGTAGAAAGTCTCCAGAGAAACCAGAGGCTGCTGAAAAAGCTGTAAAAGACCTCCTAGAGGAAAATTTTATTTCGAGATCTCAGTACACAACCTGGCTATCCAATGTTATACTTGTTAAGAAATCTAATGGAAAATGACGTAAGTGTGTTGATTATACTGATCTCAACCGGGAATGCCCCAAAGATGCATATCCATTGCCTAAATCGACAAAATGGTCGATAATTCTGCAGGTTTTAAATTACTTTCATTCATGGACGTATACTCAGGATACAACCAAATCCCCATGGCGAAGGCCGACAAGCAATACATGGCCTTCATGACCAATTCGACCAATTATTACTATATCGTAATGCCCTTCGGCCTGAAAAACATTGGCGCAACCTACCAACGGATGATGAACAAGGTCTTCCGGGGCAAAATCAGAGACATGATCGAGGTCTACATGGACAACATGATCATGAAATCGCGAGAAGAAACCGACC